GGAAGGTCTACATGGGAGACAACAATTCTCAGAATGTGGTAGGGGTTGGTGACATAGCCATTAGGATGTACGATGGGGCTTTCAGGCAACTCAGGGAGATTAGATATGTCCCTAATAAAAAGAGGAACCTCATTTCCTTAGGTAATCTTTAACATTTTGAAAATCTTTAAGGGATATATGATAGTTATGAAAGGAACCAGAGGAATGGGCTGTACTATCTAGAGGGTAGAACTGAAACAATACCTAATTCGAGTATTCTTACAGTCAGTAAAGATAAAACCGAATTTTGATATAACATAATGGGTCACATTGAGTTTAAATGGCTAAAATCTTTAAGTAATTAGAAGTTACTTGGAAAAGATGACATTGAAACTATGGATTTCTGTGAAACTTGTATTTTGGGTAAGTCTCATAAGGTGAGCTTTGAAACTAGCTCTCATAGGACTAGCAGTCCATTGCACTATATCCATGCTGATCTATGGGGTCCTGAAAAGCATTCCACATTTGGTGGAAGTAAGTACCTCTTATCCTTAGTGGATAATTATTCGAGAAAAATTTGGATTTATCATTTAAAAGCTAAATCGAAAACTTTTGGAAAATTCAGAATTTGACTTAAGCCTGTTGAGAATCAGTTAGACAAGAAACTTAGAATATTAAGAACTGATAATGGGCTTGAATTTTGTAATTTCGAATTTGACAATTTCTGTAAACAGGAAGGGATAACAAGACACATAACAGTTAAATACACACCTGAACAGATAGAACTTGCCACTTATGAAGAAACTATTAATGGAAATTATTCTGAAAATTGGATAAAAGCTATGCAGGAAGAAATGAAATCTTTGAGTGATAATAAAACTTGGAAACTTGTTAAGAAACCTAAAGATGAAAAATTGGTTCCTTGTAAATGGATCTACAAGTTAAAAAAAGGTTTGAGTCCTAATAATCCTGTGAGGTATAATGCGAGATTAGTGGCTAAGGATTATAATCAAAGAGAGGGTGTGGACTATAATGAGATATGTTCACCCGTGGTTAAGTGCAAGACAATCAGATTGGTGTTGGCTCTTGTTCAATTCAATTGGGAACTGAACAAATCAATGTAAAAACTATATTTTTACATGGGGAGTTGGAAGATGATATCTTCATGAGCCAACCACAAAGGTTTGTGGTTAGAAGCAAGTCTGATTATATGTGCAAGTTAGAAAAATCTTTGTACGGGCTGAAACAAAGCCCAAGACAATGGTACAAGATGTTTGTTGCCTATGTACTGAAGATAAGGTTTAAAAAAAGTGAATTTGATGCTTGCTTGTATTTTAATGACATAAAGAGCGATTGTGAAGTCTACTTGCTACTTTATGTCAATGATATGCTGTTAGCTGGACCTAGCAAGTCTCAAATTAAAGAACTGAAAGATCTTTTAAAATCTGAATTTGACATGAAAGATTTAGGGAATGTTAGAAAGATTCTAGGGATTGTGATAACCAGGGATATGGCTAAGAATATGTTAACTATTTTACAAGAAGCTTATTTGAATAGGGTAGTAACTAAATTTGGAATGAAAGACAGTAAAATTGTGAATGTGCCTCTTGCTAGTCATATGAATTTTTCACACGCTCAATCACCTAAATCTGAGTCTGAATTGAAAGAGATGGAAAATGTTCCTTATGACAATGCCATAGGTTCTGTCATATTTTCTATGATTACTACCAGACCTGATCTTGTATTTTTCATCAGTCTCCTAAGTAGATTTATGTTCAATCCTAGTAAGGCACATTCGGTTGGTATGAAATGGCTATTGTGGTATTTGGTTGGGACTTTAAATCTAGGCTTAGTGTATGAGAAAAGATCTGAGAAGTTGACTCTTAAGGGCTATGTTGATGCTAACTTTGCTGGTGATAAAGACAGTAGGAAATCGACTAGCATACTTCTTTAGCCTAGGTGATAACTGCATAACATGGAAATCTCAGCTGCAACCTTTATTGACTCTGTCTAGTAATGAAGCAGAATATGTTGCCATAACCGAGGCGGTTAAGAAATGTATATGGTTAAATGGAATTTTAAAATAATTAACTTCATGCATGATACTTTTATTATGTTTACTGATAGTCAAAATGTATTATCACTTAGTATGAACCCTATTTATCATGAGAGATCTAAACATATTGATGTGAAGTATCATTTCATTCGTAAGAAGCTGTCTCAAGGTGAAGTCAAACTTGTTAAGATTCATACTGATGGAATTCCTCTGATGTGGGAACAAAAATTGTACCTGTAGGAAAATTTAAATTATGTTTATCTTTGCTGCATATTGACATTGGTTAGTTTTTCTTGCAAGTAGTGGGAAATGATGATGAACAGTCCTTCCATATGTAATTTTGCAACCTAGATAGTGTGACACGAGAACCGAGGTGAAGAATGTGGGCTTATTTGGGCTTAAGTGGTTCTCCTAACACTTAATGGGTCGGTGCTATTATTGACATTTCCATTGTTTCTTACCCTTTGCTACTCACTTATTGGTAGCATTAATATGACCTGGATTATGTGCTTGTTTGGAACCATTTGTGGCCCTTGGATTTAATCCACGGTTGGGATTAATTCTTGGCTTGATATTTTACTTGGGCCTTGGCTATTGTGAGAACTCTTCCTCCTTCTTTGAAGCTACTCCCGCTTTCTCTCTGTACAACTCATTCTTCTTCTTCTTCTTCTTCTTCTTCTTCTTCTTCCGGTGTACCCTAAAATTGACCTGGTTAGCCAGTTGGTGGGAAATATTCCTGTGTGTACTTTGGCCTGAAATAGTGGCTAAGTGTTGGTTGGTTCTCGAGGGATTGGGTTAGATTTTAGGGTTGTTCTTGGCTGCTATGGTAGATCCCTTGGACCGATGACCTTAGTCAAGTTGTTGAGTGTTCTTGGCTGGTTCTAATCTCTCTCTGGATAGTGAATTGCATGGCATGGAAAGCTGTTCCTGAGCCTAATCATTTCAGTGGAAAATAGGAGGAAGGACTGGGTATCTCGGCCGGTAAAGGGAAGTAGCGTTCTGTCTTGTCTCTGTCTCGTTTATGCTCTGTTTTTTCAGTTTCTATGTATTCTTATGATTTCTGTATTGTATATGTTAATGTATGCTGATTCTGTAATTGCTGAACTCTGTCGATTAGGTTATATAAATGTTGGATTACAATGTTGTATACTCTGTAAATGCTAAGAAGCTGATTTGGAGCCTATTAGAACTCTGTTAGCATTGATTTGGTGATTACATTATGCTGTAAATTCCTAATATGAATGTTCTAATACTAGTTTGTTTCGAGAAAATAAGAGATTAAGTGCAATATGAAGTAATTGATCACAAGAACACAAGAATAAAGTAATTTTTGCAGATAATGAAGATTTTATTATAATATGGAGAAAGTATAAAAAAATTATGTGTTTATAATTTGTCTAACTTAATCTAACTTCTTTTAAATCATAATGAATAGCCAACTATATATAGGTAACAAATAGAGGGGACGTCCAAACCTTTATAATAGAGTTGTAATTGAAGTAGAATGTTAAAAATGGAGTGCAAAATAGAAAAGGATAGAAAAATGTGCAAGAGCAAAACAGATGGGAGGCACCACAGAGTTGGGACAAAATTGTTGTGGCGTAGCAACGTCCACTTTCAGGTCCTTCACTCTAAAAATCTTGATTTTCATGTTTAACATAAATACATACTCCCAATGAACTTCCAAATAGAATTTCAATTAGAATTTGTTAAGTAAACTTAAATAAGATTTCACAATAGTATTTCAAATAGAATTTTTCTAAACGTGCACTTTAATTAGAACTCCAAATTATTTTCAATAAAAAATTTTGTTTACATCCAAATTTCAATACATTTCATCAAATTTCATCAAAATCTATCAAAAATCTAATTTTAAATAAAGCTCGGCAAGGTAGGCAGAAATGGGCCCGGGCTGGCTCGGGCTCGCCTAATGCCCCAAAATGGGGCTCTGCCTGAGCCTCAAGCCGTCTCGACTCGGGTTTTTTTCGGGTTCAGCCACGCCCTGCTCGAGCCATTTTAACATCCCTTTCATTGGCCCGATAAAATTTGAAAAAGCTTGTACCCTACCCAATAATGCATATTGGTAGAATTGAACCAGAAAATGAGTGGTTTATTATTTAATTATTATAGTGAGCATACGTATGAATGCATTCATATTTTTATCTTGCTCTTATTTCCTTTGCTCGGAGAAGAAATAATATCTTATTATTATCAATGCTTTAATAATTTCTCCTCATAATTGAAAGAGGAAATTGCAATATCGATCCCCTATTTTGTGGCTTTTTTATTGCAACTTGGTTCCTAATTTTTTTAAACATTGCGGTTAGTCCTCATTCTTTCAGTTTTGTAGTGCCCGTGGGGTATCTGCATCTCTTTCAGTTTTAGATTTTCTTGCATTTTAATCAAATTGTTTGATCCTTCAAGCAATTTAATAATGTTGTGTGTGATGCGTCTTCTTGCAGAGAAAAGTGTAATCCACAGTTCATTATAGAGCTTTGGCATGTGAGTAGTTGGCAGACGACAAAACAAAATCCAATGTAATAATGCAAGTGCTGCTTGCACAGATCGGTACAAGATCTGCGCAAG